TCTGTTGTACTTCGTTCAGTTACGTATTGCTCGCTATTTTCCACGTTCTAATATGTGGAACTCATTTGACGGACAAAACAAATCGATTAAATTCTTTAGACCAGTCTTTCGATTTAAGGCCAACTGGTTTATCATATTGTTCCATAATGCATTGCAGCTGAAATATAACGTTTAAAAATACATAAGTTAAATATAATGCATCAGTGTTTATTCTTGGCCTTTTCGATTTAATGAAAATTTATTTATTAATAAAACTGCAAATACCTATTTTTCTATTTATGAAATTATGGTCGTAGTTATGACTGAAAATCTTCATTGTTGAATTATTATATAGTGATTAAATAGGAGTTTAGATATTGTAAATCTATACTCTTTATTTTATAACAAAGAAATCTTAAATTTATATGGTGACGTATTACGAGAAAGGTTCTAGTGCTCTTCTATTTTTGTTATAAAGCAATAATCTTTTCAAAATAGTTATAAATTAAATTACTTTAAATATTATTAAAATGATAACCGTAAATGATATGAATTATTAATTATGGTATATATATTTTCAAATTTTACTGTAGGAAATATATTTTAGTAACACATTTTTCATTTAAAATCAAATTTTATTAAGTTTTTAACCACAAACTTATGGAATTATAATTATGTTTTTGTTTTTCATGATGTTTTTAATTGCAATGAAAACAACGTATATGGTATCGTTACTACATTTTGAATGTTAACATAATATTTAAATTAAATAATACGAGTTTTTATTGAACAAAAACATCGGCTACGTGGCCATTAGTTATAGTAATACATTATTTTTATTTTTAAGTTATAATTGTATATTATACGACAATTTTGGGAAAAGATCAGAAAAATCATTTAATATCTTATAGAAAGGAAAGTTATTTAAAATATTCAATCTTCAACAATTATCAAAATACAGACAATTGGTACATACTTGACAAAAAGTATTTGTATTATTTTTAATTTTAATTAAGTGCCAATTTTATGTAAACTATTTTTATCATGATTATAAGGAAAAATTTAAAAGTCAAATATTTAAAATATCCATTAAATGAATTGAATATATATATGGTCTATGTGTCAACTGGTGTGGCGTATATATTCCGTTCCTTTAATATAATTCGTTTTATCGATTATTCAAAACTACTAAATCGTTTTGATTACCAATATTGCAAACTAGATACAGTTTTATTCGCTCAATCGTATTATGGATTTTATTTATTAATCAGCAGATATCTAAGTTTTATTTAATAATTTATTATAAATCAAACCTAAATATTTTAAGATAATTTATAAGTATTAAAATTAAAACTAAATTTTCTTACTCTAGCATAACCTTTCTGACTAAAATGAAAACAATCACTCGCCAGATACGTTCTATCTGTAGTATTATATCGATTTAATGGGAAAATCACATTTCTGTAAATGTTTGAGAACAAACCGTAAAGTCATCTTTATTCTTACTTTCTTCTACTTCCACCTAAATAAGTATTTATGTAATTAATTTATTTGTGTATTAACAGCAAAGGTTAATTAAGCTCGATATCTTTAAGAAATAACGACTACAAATCCAGTTTAACCAAAAATTTAAGATTTACAAATAGTTTTAATTAATTTTGTATTATATATATTTTGAATAAATTACAAAATAAAATAAATAGAAGGAAATATGTTATATTTTAAGCTATTTAATATACACATTCAGAATATGAATGCATGTGACGTTTAAGTGATTTTAAATATTCGATCTATTTAATACATGATGCTGTTATGTTGTCGTTGCGCTGACATCAAATGAAAACACATCTAAGATTCATGCATTACTATATTAAATATTTCTACTTTCTTTCTCGACTTCTTGAAACTTGTTTCATTCTAATACTCAATCTGACAATTTATACAGCTGTATGTGTGTATACAAACATGGACACTCTACAATATGAGTGAAGAAACAAATGCTTAGCAAATTTGTGAAATTCATTAAAATTTCTAAATCTATAAAATATATAAAACAATATTTAAATAATTATTATTCTCTATATATTGTTAATTTTTATTTATTTAGGAACATAGTATACTAAGTTACGAACATAGATAAACATATTACCTAATATTTAATTTAGAGTTATAACAAATAAGAATCAGTTTATTAAAATCGGTTTACTCGTAAAAATTTTTAATTATTATACTTTTCCTATTATTAAAGAGTAATGAAAATTTTAGTTTTAAATTTTAAGTCTAAAGTAACAACATAATCCAAATTTCTTACTAAAACGATCCTCAAAGCTAAAATCGAAACATATTTATTGTTTTACATATTACGGACATAAATAAAATCACACATGATTGTAAAATCATTACATAATCCATACTAAAGTATTTAAAATATTTAAATTTGTATCAGATTTTGGATACATAGATATACCCTAAACAAATTTATAAAATTACAATGCTGACTTATGTTCTAAAATATATATTAGTATATTTAATAATATTTAGCTTTTATAAATAAAATTTCGAAGAGCCTAATGTATAAACTTTGGTGACTAAATGATAAATTATTGAATTTTTAAATTCTTCTTTTACTATGATTGCCATTCTAGTGATTCCTATAATGATTACTAAATCAATATATCTCTACACGTAGAAAATTCAAACAAATAAAGCATTTAAAATATTTGCATTTAATATTATATTATTTTAGTGACAGATCCAATTAAAATATTTTGTTTAAATCAAAAATCCACTACCATCAGACATAAAATTATTTACACATATTTACACAAAGCAATGAAATTTTCAAAATATGTGATGGTGTTTATGCCATTACCTATTTATATCATGAACTAATTCAAACTGCATTTGTAAGGTATATGACTCAGTCTTAAAGTAATTTGATATAGTATAGATATATATTATTATAGAATTTATTACATAGTATTAATATTAATATGAAAATGCAATGTTTTCAAAATTAAATCAACCTACCGTTTTCCTAATAGTAAAAATTACTTCAATAATAATAAATTAATATGAAATATACTTATGTGACATAGGCTAATAGACCGTTCCACTAGAATTGTTATTCGTATTCAATGATAAATCAGTGACCCATCAATTAACAAATGCATATAGACCTCCACTTGATACAGCAGATCAGTATCCCTTTGTTTGTCCAACTTTTATATTTTTGTATGCCTATATTATAAAATATATTTATTGTTTGATCACCAATATACACTAAATATTAATCTAATATGAATTTAATAGAACCCCATGCATTTTAATATTTTGATATTTTTAAATTTCTGAAATGGTACTAAATTTAATGTATTTTGGATAAAATAAATGTACAATATGTCAATACATTATTTTGTTTATATTATGTACTTAAATTTTTCATTATTCTAGGGTGATGGTTTTTTTTTTTTTTTTTTGGGGGGGGGGGGTATGGATGATTCCGTATTTTTTCCATGTGTTTAGTTTTAATAAAATCATGTTTTGTTTAAATAGTTAATTTCATTTACTTGGACTTAAAACTAAGTTGACTATAGTCCGTGGCAAATTTTCTTTTATGTATAGTAATGACTTTAGAACCTCTTGTTTATGTTTTTCAGCATATGTAGTATAATCTTCGTAACATAGTTCTAAGCAAAATGTATTCGAACTCATCATCATTGTTATTAACTGTTGAAATAAATGTGTGTTTCTATTATTTTTCATGCTTAATTATGAAAAAAAATTCTTCCTTACTTTCCAGTCTTCAGTTATATTAACCCTCTTATCCATTTTGATTCTTTTCACTAGTTCTCTTGTCATAAATGGTATATCTCTACTGAGGGCACCGATTTCAGCTACGTTAAATTGAGAAAAACGCTGTTCAGCCAATGCATCACCATACGCATATCCAATCAAATTAGGATTAAAAACTTTCAAAATATTTGGTAAAGTTAAAAATTCTCTCCATGTACCTTGTCCGCCTAAAAACAATTAATACAATAAATTAAATCATTTTGTAAAATAAATCATATTTAACTACTCTTTATATTATATTTCAATATTTAATTAAAAACTATACCTGCTGTCCAAGATGATCCACGATGATCGACAGTTAATAATTGTGGTAAAACATAAGTAAAGCTTCCTGTCCCAATTGTCCAAGAATCTCCAATACAACCGATTACATCAATGTCACCGGGTCTTAGTTTATGTACAGACGTTGGTCGTGTTGCAGATCTAGTGCCATTGGTATTGCAAAAAAATTTGGATGATTTTGGTATTTTCTCTTGTACTTTCTGAAAAACAAAATAAAGAATAAGATACACCTAAATACCCCCCATGAGTGATGTGCTCTTATTTAGGATGAAATAAAATTTATCCGAACCTTTAACATCCGAGATTTTTCTATTTGATACTGTGAGCTGAAAATATTTTGCAGAAAAAGCCTCGTTGGAAACAAAATTTTGTCTTGGAGTTGTATAACGGATTTCGGTATGCCCGTTAAATTTTCATTAGATATCTGATGTACCCATTTTGGTGATTGAATATTAATTTTCCAAGTCAATGTAACGGTACAACACCACAAAAAGCACAGGCTAATTGCTATTAAATCTGATCATAATAAATAATTCAGTTTTGTTTTCATAGAGTAATTTAATAGTTTTTTGATTTATTATTAAAACTATTATTAGTGTTTTTTTTTTTGCTCTAATATTGTGTTTGTACATTGCCATACATAATAAGATTTTAAACAATAATAATTTTTGTTAGTTATCAATATAGTTTTTAATAAATAATGTCATAATTTTATTTAGAGTCCAAGTATTAAAAAAATAATCGTAATTTTTTGTATGAGGGTTTGAATTTTAAATTTTATTTTTTAAATAAAATTCTTAAACATTTAATTATAGAGCATTGAAATTTTTTTAAATATTTTATAAATATTTTATAGATATGATAATATTTTTTAATTAATATTTTGATTCTTTTTAAGCTATTTGTGTCCATCAAGACATACCATTTTTTCTTAATTTATGTAATATAAGAT